TTCATGCGGACAAATTTATTTCCATCAGAATCCTTCAAAATTACCATGAAAATGTTCTTTAAAGATATGATACCATGACAAGATCAACGGCTTTCGATTCCGTAGGTTCCACCTTTCGAATTCGACGTCGACATACATCGGTTATCAATACCATCGGTTTCCCGACTTGTGGTAAATTCTTTGTTTCTACATGTACACGTCCAGGTGCTACACCATACTGACCTGCCAGTGGTAGGAACCAAAACCAATGATCATCACGTAGACTCGCGAAAATATAATAGCAAGCGCCCACGAAATACACGATGTCACCGTAGGTAAACAAATAGTAGGTACCATACAACTCTGGTTTAACATTGATCTGAATGTTGTAGACCAGGTAGACAATCGAGCTAATAGTAGTACAGGAATATGCGATAACATCAGGGTCATCGAGAGTAAAGCCACGACCCAGTGTCCGAATGTAGGTCATGTACCACGACATGATCCTAAAAAGAGAACGTCCCATATATAGTTTGTACTCGATGTTGATCACTATTTTGTTCATTCTCTCTATGGATTCTGTTTCTTTTTATGAAATTAGAATACGAAGAATAGAAATCTCTAATAGAGGATGTGTCTGTTGCTTTCATTTTACTAGCACACAATTCTCAATCAACTATAATAGTGAGATCTACGACTGTATTGAAGAAATAGTCAATGAAAACCATCAACTTTTTGGAAATATAGAAATAAGCTTTCAAACGAATACCTTATGACGAATTGACACCCACGATATTCTCCTTTTTTCAGTGAAGATATGTTACTGAAGTTCTAATTGCTATTCCTAATTATCAATAACTCATCTTGCAGGGAGTATGCGGTTACCGAAGTACTATCTTGACATTTTGCAAATCAGAATTGTTGTTCGAAAAAAATGCAATGACATTATTTTGAAGGGAAGAACTGAGGATCGCTCTACTATCGTAAATTGGATGTTTTTAGTCAGATCTTTATACGAAGTGACAACACTGATTACTATTCATCTGATTATATACGCACCAGCCGAACGAAGCAAACAGTTCAACAATCGCTGCTGCCAACTCGATTTTGTGCACTGATAATGTATAATAACCACCTAGTGTGTCTTCTCTCGAATACCAGATCGCTGACCAAAGATATAGTCCAGCTTCAATATGATTTAGATACTCAGGTATCATAATAACGTCCAGCCATGATCGACCAGTCCAAGCCCACCAGTAGAGAAAGGCTGAGATAAGATGGACAACAGCAAAACCTGAAAAGGTAGAATCCGTTGTACAAAATGTCCGACATAGAAGTAGGAACAAGTTTTGTTTGAACTTTTGTTCTGTTCAAAAGATCAGTGATAAGCTATTGAATTGCTTTTCACTCAAGCTTGAGACTGTTCTCGAAACTTATTGGACTAATCTCTGCTTTTATAATTTATTCTTGTATGAAATTCATCACGATGGCAGTATTTGCTTTTGTTTTCAAACAGTACAATAAACCGGTGATGGAAGAGCTCTTTAACTAACCTAGGTACAGTCGATTTATCAATGGGCTGCTGATTACTGGTTGATCAAGTGTCGACATCACAGACGCTGCACTCGTATCGCTCTCATTCGGAGATGAACTCTCTGCCGATCCATTCACTTGAGGATTGAAATCAATGATCAGAATACCAATTGCATAGCCGAAATAGACTAAATTAGCCAACATATAACGATTATGGAGTGTCTTTCGCAGACAGACGGGAACTCGAGTACGAATCTGTTTCCATTGTAGTGCCTCCCATATTGAGTTGAATACTTCTTTCTCGTAGAAAGGCGCTGTGAGGTCGTCTATTTCAATGTCATTGGACTCAGTTGTGTTTACATTTATATCGTCGTCAGCCTGCATCCTCAAACAAACTAAATTATACTGACGCCGACGACGAACAGCGTATACCTCACCTGTACAATGTGGAGAGAAGACATTTTTTCATATTTCGATACTTTTTCTGTTCTGTGTTACTGACTTTCAACGGACGCACATGGAAGGTTGTTTATACACAGAACAGAATAGATCTTCTGTATGTTCTTTCAAAGCACGCTCCAATGGAATGCTTCAATATAAACAAGTGAACATGATAGCAAAAGCTAGTTTGTTCGTAACTAAACTATACACCTGGTCACTATTTGATGATCTCTTTCTTCTAAAATCTTTTGAAAAATCTTAATCCATATTATTCCGGATTTCGAAAAAGTCAATAGATTTTTGAAAGACTTTCTAAGAGTTATTCTTTGAACTGGTTCCAAACCAATTTCATCTGTCAATTATAAGCAACAAGAAAACAAATAGTAATAATCATAAACACTTCTTGACGTAAATATCAAGAGAAGAAACACAGTAGTAGCATTTTTTTAAATTTCTTTTCTTCATTGCACTATGTTTTACTCTTTCTTTGTCTTTCTGCGTTTTTTAAAATTTCAAATATTTCTTTCGTCACAGTCTCATCATAACAGTAGCATAACGTTTTTCGATACTGCTTAAAAAAGCAAAATTGAAAAGCAGAAGGAAAAAATGTGAGATTAATGGTTCAAGAAACAAAGTTAAAATAATCTTATTTTCATAAAAATACATAGTTTAACAATAGTTCATCTTCAATATCTGGTTGTTTGGAGGTATCAAAACGAATCCTTGATGACTTTATGTATGATTGAATCTGACCATATAAATAGACGATTGAAAACATCAGTTAAATTTAGTGTGTGTCAACATTTTCTTGATAAAAACTCACGGGAAGTTTTCACATTTTTGTTACAAATTTCGAGAGCTGCTTCATTCAAGCGAAACCTGATCGCAAATATACGCGTTTGTTTGAGCTTTCACGTTTGACTGGGTAGTAGTAGTGGGAAGACTTTTCATCATATGATGAATGTAATTTTTATTTCGAAACTCGTTTCGCAAAAATAGACCTGAATTATGTAAAAGAAAAAAGTGATTGAAAGATCTGATTGTAGACTATTGATAATTTGAGCATTCATCGAAAAGTCAATCAGTACAGTTAGCCTTGTTCAGGCGTGAGAGGTTTGAAAGAATTGTAAATAATACTTCCAATGTGTGATGTGACAGATGCATAGGTATTGTTTCGATTTTTAAGGAGTTCTTTGACGAATGTCAAAGGGTTAGAATTGAATCGAGCTCGATAAATTTGCAACTGGCAACGGTGTTCTGGATCTTGAACAAATCCATCAGCCGCAATCCAACCATTTTCAAAGGCGTTTTCTTCGATCGTCGTTCGAGGTTTGAGACATAAAGCTAAACATTGACAATAGGCTGTTTGCTCCTCGACAGTTTCGAAATAAATTGTACCATTGAAGACGAATAATTGAACCAGCCAATCTACGGGCAAAATGAAAGTAATAGTATCGTGGGGAATTGTCAGAGTGGGTGTATGGACGAAGATCGATTGATTTCGGTTGAGACGCGGCAGTAATAAGCGTAATGTAGTGATCGATGGTTCGTTCAATTTTTCCTGGTGGCAAAGATGGTGTAATTGTCCCATCAACCAATTGGCTTCAAAAGCGTTGACAAAAATAATATGCTCATTTCGATAGACTATTATCCAACGTGGAGGGCGTAAGAATAGATCTAATGACTCTCCTTTAGTTTCAATCACTCGTTGAAATTCTGTCGAAATCCACAAATTTGGTCGCCAATTATTAGGTTGACATATTTCAAAGAATGTTGAATTGATGAAAGCATATGCTAAGGGACAAAATACCAAAGGCAATTCGGCCAAGTCCAACGTGATATCATCAGGATTGCACAACCTTTTGATTTCTTCATGGAGGATGGGTTCACATGGGTGAACAGATCGAGGACGTTTTTGTTCATGTTCCTGTTCTCGTTCTTGTTCTTGTTCTATTTCTTGTTCTAATTCTCGTTGTTGCTCTTCATCTAAAAATTGCGATAGACGCTGCTTCGATCCACTATACGCATAGATTCGTTGTAATACAGCACGATGAAGTTCTTCTGAGGCAGGAATATTTGAATGTTGATAGCGAATTGTATATATCTCTGATATGGTTTGCAATACTTTGGGCACACCATACATCTGTTTCAATTCAATTATTTCCTGTTCTAAACATTTCTCCGCTAACTCTTCCATCATTTGATCTGTATAGATTTGCTGATGATTAGTCCACTGAATATTCTGAAAGGCATAGACTTTGCGTTGATAACTAAGACTTTGTATGGCCCAGTGATGCAATCCATCCCAAGTGGCTTGTTGTGTATTCTCATATACCCAACGCAAAATATCTTTGATTTGACAGGAATCATTGTATTTGCACTGTAGTAAACGTGTCTTTAGCAAGACAATTTGCCGATGTACTTCATCTGAACTCCAAAATGTCAACGAATGGCCTTCTCCTAGTTTACGCATTCTCATACATGCTTGCACAAAACGATCCTTGGTTAAGCCATTTCCTAAGGTGACTGCAGCTTTGAATCCACTAGGAAATTTGAAATCGGTTCCTCTCGTATGCACTTCATCTAAATAAATGACACAACGATCCAGTCGTTCGTTTGCAGGTGATGTTAGAAATGAATGATGATGAAATTGTCGATCACAAACAACGATATAGTCGGATTCGAAATAAATCGCATAATCAATCTTGGCTTTATCCGATAGTTTCAACCAATGGACTGCTATGTCACGATTTGTACTGTCGGTAAATAGAGCACCCACATCGAGAATGACGTTGATAGCCTCTTGATAAGTTGCTATTACATATAAAATCGTCTCGAAGGTCGCATTGACGGATAAATTTTGATAGTTTTCATTTTCCGAGTGTAATAAATTGTTAACAACAATGGCATCAGTTTGTTGCAACTGATGCAAGTCACATTGATGAATATCCAAGGGTAATAGCAACTGTGTATCATTCGTACCACTGAATCCGGTAACGATATTTGTTCGTGTTGCTGAAGACAAATCCCAACCCGACGAAACCAATTTATGAGGAAACTGTTTCGCTTCTCGAGGAAAGACAAAGTGGTTCAAGAAATAATTGATCACTAACATATTGTAGCGTAGAGTAAGCAAGATTGGACGGAGTTCTTGCTGACAATTTTTTCGGTTGATTTCTTTCCATTGTTTGATACTTTGAGGAACATCATTTTCATCTTCCTGTGAAATCCATTCATCATAGATCGATTCCGGATCTCGTTCTTCTTCACTTAAACGATTGAAGCATTGAATCATTTGCGAATCATTCAAACCACTATAGTAGTACGAAAGTTGTGTCAGAACAAGTGCAATATCCGGATGACCGAATTCGGTCCTTTCTGCAGGAACGTCCTTAGCTCGAAACGGTACGGCCATCAATCGATTAAAACTGGTATGGGAATTGACACCATAATGAACTCGATAACGTTTCTTCAAAGCAACTAATAAGACTTCTGTTGATAGTAAACCACGAATAATAAGAAACGATTGAATATCATTCGATGAGAATCGATGGACAAGAGCATCGACCGAGGTATTCATATCGAAAATGAATGATAAAATAGTCTGCTTATCCGTTTTTCGATATGATTTCTGATTGAGCCAATCATGAACAATTTTTGCAGATAATTTAGCATATGGTTGATGTGATAATAACCGAAATTCCGGAAAAGCACTTTTGCATTTCGGTGATTTATAGCAACTATCATCAGGATCACTTTGTGCAATGTCTGCAGCAAATTTTTGAACAGAGTTCAATATCAATTGAATGAGTTTCCAGCGTTCCACGCCTCCGTCCACTTGTTGTTGAGCACCAACTGTATAAATTAATTGATATTTACAATGTAAAATTTCGTCCGATTCATCTAAAACATCTCGAGCAAATGTTTTCAACCATCTTTGTACTATTAACATTGAACGAGCCGTGTCAAATTCGTGTCGTCGACATTTATCGATCATCAACAAATCAAACGAAAGAATGGCTTCAGGTGAAATTAATATGATATCACAACGATGTAATCCTTGTTGAAGTCGATCAAAGATTTGATTCACTTGGATATGGTTGAAATCCATATTACGACGACAAGCAAATGAAAAAATACGCCGATTCAATAAACCTCCCAATTTAAATCTTAATGATTGATAATTCATATGAAATAATGATTTCAAAACTACGACACGAACCAAACTTGATAAAGGTGAACATAAACTAAGTGCTAACATGGGTATAATGACGGACGTTTTTCCTTCACCCATATTCATTTGCATGACGATATTTCTTACTTGAGTATCATTGGGTGAAATTTGCATCATGTGACGAGCAACATCCACTTGAATTTCACGAATAGTTATGTTCATTTCTAGTTCGAAGATTAACCATGGTAGATGTTTCGATGGTGTCCAATTGGTATGTGGGGTATTCGATAGTTCTTTTTCGAATTCTTCTTGTTTATCGTGATATGCAAAATGTAAAGCTCTCTCAATTTGCTGTTCTACAATCCAATTGACCATAAGTCCCCCAAGAAGTGTACATTGGTCTTTGGTAAGGAGAGACTTGACAGATTGTTGATGTTCTTCGTTGAACCAAATCTGTTGAAAAAGTGATATAAGAATAGCTGGAGTCGTTCTTGGTACCAAACCTATTTGGAATAACTGTTCATTAGCAATAGTGATAGAGTTTATTAATTCTTTCCAGAATTGAGTCGATTCTTGTTGAAAAGATTGAAGAAGTTGAATGATTTCCTCCTTGGAAGGATATTCTCTTTTGTAGGTCGCAGTGGATTGCAGCCGTTTCCAACTTTCTGCTAAGTGATCCTTAAAGTAATTGCCAATTTTACTAAGATGACTATGTTGATCATCGATGGAAGAGAAAATGTCGACTGGGAACTCTTTGTGTAGATTAACACTTTGAAGAATGAATGTTGACTTGATAAAAGAGTCAGAATTCGGATAAAAATATTTTCGCTGAGCATTGAGAAGTAGCTGTGGATCAGTTTGTTTCTCCGACGATTTAACTTCTATTTGGTGATGATTTTCGATTGCTTTCTGTAGAAACTCTTGAGGATAAACAGGTACTCGAGTGTTCCATGGAATGAGACCAAAAGAACAGATCAGATTTTGAACGGTGATTAGAAATGTCTGGAGTTTTCGGTTCAATTGCCAAGATTTCAATAAAAATTTTATTTGATGTTTCTCTTCAGAAGTTGCCAGACGACAATGATTTTTGTAGGTATAACCCGTCTCCAAACAATCTTTCACTTCTCCTATAATTGTCCTACGTTCACTTGCTGAATGATTCCAGTTGAAATCGATGGCACTCATAATCACTGAGACTTGTTGGATATTATGATATTGAGTAAAGGGAGGAAATGTGACTGATTTCAATGATAGAGTGGGCACTTGCAAGACGGTGTTTAACATTTGCAAATAAATTGATTGAAACGCACGTTTGCCAGATATATAATGAAGAAAGTCTAACAGTAATTGAAATCGTTCGAGATCTTCTTTACCATGACTAGTTGCACCTATCTTGATCGAGTCAGCTAGTTTTAACAAACCAATCCAAACAATGTTTAGTCTATATTCGTCTGCGAGCCATTTAGACAATGGGAAACAACAAAGTTCAGTAACTTCTTTAAGACGCACATCTCCACTATGATACATGTCATTAATAAGGTGAACCTGTTCGTGACTTGCGACCGACGAATCATATTCGGAAGTTGGCTGATATGGTGCTTCTGTTCTTGCATCTAGTAGTTCTGCTTCGATCTCAGCGGATAATCGAGCAATTGGATTGTATAAATCACGATAGTCCCAATATAGTTTTGCCAACAATCTTTCATCATATTCATGCTCATCAACTAATTTTAACATCTCGTTGGTATGTGACGATAGATGCATGAAATTGAATTTCTCACTGGTATCGATCAATTTTTTTACTATCAGATAATAGCCACAATGTTGCAATGAATACGGGATAGTATGATAATTCCAATTAATTTTTTGCATGCAAGTACGATATTGTCGAGAATAATTTGCACGGGGTGAAATGACAGCAATTTGACGAAGAATGTCCAAAGAAAGTGCATCAAACGGTTGATCAGTCCAGCAACCGGCGGAATTGAGCAGTTGAAAAGCACGTTCCATTCCAGTCATGCCTGTGTACTGGTCCGGTAGAGGATGTGATGTCAGAGCATGAAGTAATGCCAGATACAACCATCCGGTAGGACTATCCATTGACTGAATGATACGTAATCGATCGTTCAAAATAAAAACGAAATATTGATGAGCATACGACATTGACGACTTTCGTTGAATAGTGACAATTTGATGGTCAGCAGACGATCTTCGCTTTGCATCGACATGTCCGAAAGGGATGATCAGCTTTCGACTATGACTGAATGGTTTCGTTGGCGACAGGACTAGACCGGATTTCAAACCTGTCAGTGTTCCTAACCACTGGTCTTCATCAATACACATATCCGAATATTCACGCGAAGTAAAACAATGACTGTTTGCATTGTATTTGAAAGCAATGGCTAAGCGTGAGAGATGAATATGAATAACAGTTGAAGCATTATCTTTCATCATATACACATAGGGTTTTTCATCGAGACGATTGAAATACCGTGTAAACCAATTCTGGAAGAGCAATGAGGATTGATTGACTAAAAGTTGCGTTGTCGTACTGTCGGTAGTCGTCACATAGCCTGTTTCGATATTTAATACATATGGTTTGTAATTGAAAAAATTTGGATCTTTAAAATGAACTGGTCGAAATTCGATTATCTTATCTTTCATATTTTTCCAATGGCTATATTCGGAGACAAATGTGATTGGTAATTCAGTTTCAAAACATTTCGGAGGTATCAATTCAAATACTTCATTAGTCTTGATGTGCCATTCATGAACAATGAGCCGATTCAATTGATCATCAAAATGAAATTCATATCGAACTTGCCCATCACCACCATAAGTATATTTGGTAATATATGTATTGGGTGAGTCAGTTACTTGTACTTGAAAGATATAATGGTCAAAAACACGAATATATAATTCATTGGAGACAATTTTTTCCGGTAAATAACTAACACTTATCCCATTCACTAAAAATATGCCTTGTAAACAGTCAATCGATAAATAAGTCGATTCATATTGACCATCGTACCAACCATCATAGATACCTTTGTTCCGTTTCTTCCATTGACCATCGATCGTACCTTCATTTCTGATCACTGCCCAATAGATGGAGGAAAAATCATTTAAACTTTGATAACGTGATTTTTCCAGGAATATGCCTACTATGGGCTGTATTTGTACTAAGACACGTTCACTTAGTCGGATTAGATCTCTTAGAAAGATGCTTACAGGTGTTTGCTTCTTATTTAAAACGAGATTATCATGAACGTTCGTTGCTGCTTTCAGTAACGAGATCATGTGCTGATTCGATGACAAAACACAATGGATGCGGTCCATATGAGTTGAAAATGTGAACAAGCAGGCCACACCTATAGTTATCACATTAAGGCGGAGATTTTCTACTTCATCCAAACCTGATGTCGAAATTAGATCGATCCATTTTTCACCAATGCGACGGCATTTAAGAGCTAAATCGGTGACTTTATCTTCTCGGGTTGAGTAACATACAGTTAACACTCTCATAGTAACCATTGTAATCACCAGTAGTACCAATTCATTCTGCCAATTCGATGCACAATCATCTAAATGACGATTCAATCTCACGAGCAACTCGTCAACGAATTGATCATCCAATAGTTGCTGATGTGATTCAGAACACCAAGGAAAGACAAGTTCATCAGGATTTTTGGTCATTGGACCATATTGCCATATGGCATGAACAATCAGTATAGCAACACTTTCCTCATTCAACGATAAAGAATCCATTTCCAACATAGCCAACAGATTCCACCATTGCAATCGATGACCTGAACGAAATGATCCGAATTCAATAAACTGATTGGATTTGAGTTTATATTGAGTATGTGAAAGATCAGCTATGACTCGATTTTGTACGAATTGTGTAGATGTGACAGAGTACTGTAAATGTTTGTAATCAGGATGATTCAGCTGAGGTGTTAACCGTTGACACTCGTCGTGGAATGGAAGGGATTGAGTGGGTGATATTTTAACTTCTAGACTATTTTCATATAAAAAGTCTTCAATCTGTGCCAATGCAATCGGTGGATTAGAAATGTGACTTTGCGTGATTGAATTCGTGGAAGAAACCAACTTAACTTTGCAATCACTTGGACCAGTAAATAATGGTTCTAATATGCATAAATGAGGACGAACCCTTAACCATTCATACAGGCGACTCTCTGGTCGACGTTGAGAGCGATTGACAAATTGCCAAAGGACGTCGCGATACCTTCTGACTTCGATTGGCATCCGTAATTCAAACATAACGGCCAAAGCACTGGCTCGTTGAGATGGTATTGGACACTCATAAATGCTGACTTCAATATTGTTTGCTTGTTGTTCAATTCGACATCGACGGCATTGCCTAGAATCAAGTTCACTATAACATATACAAGGACAACCATTAATTGAATTCATAAGTCGATAATATTTGTCTTTGGCATTCCGCACTTCCTGGATTTTCACTGCCTTGTCTTGTTCAGTCTGGGGTTGGATTTTTCGAAGACAATTATTTATCTTGGTCGACTGACCAGCAAAATAAACACCGAAACTATTTTCTGCCTCGATATTAGTCAAAAGATCAGGATATGATTGATGTGTAAACTTGTTGAAATAGTCGTAGAGATCGCGAGCTCGAATCATATCTTCACGATTCGGTAAGACCAAAAATTCGAAAAGGTCCATCATATTTGGAATGTCAATGCAATGAAATTGTAATCGTTCAAGTTTCTTATCTTGACATAACTTTTGATGCATAGCACAAATAATTGTTAATGATGTTAGAAGAAATCGACTGTAACCGATCGGATCTGTTGAACACTTTTCCGGACAGTAATGCATTAGTGCATGATTCTGATAATCTTCAAAGAATCGTGATAACATTTGAAAACACTCTGTCTCTTTTCGACCTGATGCTGTTCGACTGATCCATTGCTCTGACCATGATGTAACCCAAATTTCCATAAGATTCAGAGCTGTTCCAATCGTATATTTGAATTGATTGGTTAAAACATTGAAAGAAGGGATGATATGTTCTTGCTCGATATCGATGATATCATCATAGTTAGGGAAGTTGAATGATGTTTTGTTTGAGTTTTTTGAATTATTACTATTTAAATAATTTTTCAATGCTTCACATGGATGTCGATAGAGTTCCGCATTATTCAGGTTCGAATCGATCAGCAGCTGTTGTTTGTTGT